TTAGGTTTAGCGTTAGGGTAAGGGTTAGGGTAAGGGTTAGGTTTAGGGATAGGTTAAGGGTTAGGGTTAGGTTTAGCGTTAGGGTAAGGGTTAGGGTAAGGGTTAGGTTTAGGGATAGGTTAAGGGTTAGGGTTAGGTTTAGCGTTAGGGTAAGGGTTAGGGTAAGGGTTAGGTTTAGGGGTAGGTTTAGGGTTAGGGTTAGGTTTAGGGTTACGTTAAGGGTTAGGATTAGGTTTAGCGTTAGGTTAAGGGTTAGGGTTAGGTTTAGCGTTAGGGTAAGGGTTAGGGTAAGGGTTAGGTTTAGGGGTAGGGTTAGGTTTAGGTGTTAATTTTAGGTTTAGCGTTTACAGCGTGCTTTTTTCTCCGCGCTGTTGTCGTGCTGTGATGACGTCAGCTACGCGGTTTCGTCGAGCGCCCTTTAGCTGAACGCGGTTTTGTGGTGGAACCACCCTATTCTACCCCATATACCATACCATACCATGCCACACACCACACATACCACTATACCATATTTGGATCTCAGCTAAAAGTTGCACATGGCTATTATAGTTTTTACTTTCATCACCAAATATACAGAAAAAGTACCAAAGTAAAAAAAAAACAGTACAAAACTTAATTCTGGTATAAATATGAAGTCTGTTGAAACATCTTTACTCTCATTGTTGAAGGATCCAGATAATATGTCCATTGAAAAGTAAATTATGCATTCTAGTGTACTTGATCCTAAAAATCAAGACCTTGGCTGTTAAGTACCAATGGAGTCAGGTAAAATCTGATATTTGGAAGGTCGCTTCTTTCTCTTTTTTATTTTTTTGAGACCACCCATTTCACTTTCTGAAGATGGTTGAAGAAAAAAGATGCAATGTTCAATTATGAACTACGAACTATCTTCTTCCAGAGCACATCAAGATGTTTATCGTAGCAACCTAACATGTTCCCCATTACACATTGGTCCAAACTGTGCTTTCAACTCTGATGGGAAAGACATTATTTATATTGTTCAGAGCAAGATGGTATTCCGGCAAACCCCACAAAATTAGTCCACTATGTATCGTGGCATACAAATCCTGAGATGTTTCTTGATATGCCAAAATATTACTAGCATATGAAAGTCTTTGTACTAGGAACTTATTCCAATAGGTTTGGGTGTTCAATCCATGTAATCATCCAGTCTGGCTTCACACCCTGTGTGAATTCTCTTCGAAACCTTTAGGAAAAAATAAAGTAAAATAATGAAAATAATTGCATGTCAAGCAACAAACCCCTTTGTAAATGGCCTTAATATTACAAACACAAATGTAATGTTAAAGTGGTGAACAAGTATAATACTAGGAATAGATTTAAGACCTGGCTGCCAAATCTCTCAGCTAAGAACTGTATCCCTTAAAATAATAATTAAAAAAAAAGCAGAGATGACTAGATTAGACACAAAGGACAAATGTCTATATTTGATCCACCAAGATGGCTTTTAGCCACTCACGCACTCCCCAAATTTGCTCCAAAGACTCTTTCCTCCAGATTTTTGCAAATAGCTTTGAGGAGGAAACAAAAATCCTATCTGCACAACCTCTCTTCTGGTAGTGGATGAAAACAGTCACACGACTGATTCTTGCAAGATTAACTTCTATTACTTTTACAATAGAAGAAAGGGAAAAATATTTTTGGACATTATTTTAAAAGCAGTAAAAGTAATGGAAATGTGGCTATCTATTTATTTATTAAAGTATTGTTATGGTGCTTGCCAATCAAATATTCTGGGTGGACTACAAACAATATAAAAGTGGTATCCTATAATCACTCCAATCAAAATTCTTCGTTATATATTATCTTGTTACAGTATTAACTCTTCATTGTTCTTTTTATAAACCAATCCCATCTCTTTAGATATCTCTTTTAGGCTAAAATAAACTTATTAGACAGAGAAATTGTCCCATCCAATTTCTCCTTTATAAACTGATTATAAAATTTTGCCTTTCTGAAAGATCAACTTAAGCTATTCTTGTCTTCCTATGACATTTTGTTCATACTGTACTGCTTGTGATCTTTATTCTCTGCAACACTGACCTTCCAATAAATTCATTTTTTTCTCTTGATTAGTCAGGCATATTGCTCAAGTTGCAGCATCACTTATATACTACAGTTGTAACCTTGTTTAAAGTACACTGAAGTTTCACCATACTCAAAGAACAAAACCAGTGTCAGGTAGAAAAATCAACGACTGACTTACTCGTAGTTTGCTAATAAAAGATGTCTTCTTTTTGGCGTGCTTTCACCTCTAAGCACAATCTGGAATACTTTGGCTCCTTCTGGAGTCTTATCAGGGATGTCAGCACTGCTCAGATACCAGAACGACATCAGGATACTAACAAACTTCCTGCCTGTTTACAGCACAAGATAGATTTAGAAACAGTGAAAGACATCTTATTATAATATATGAAGAACACATCTCTCTCTTTTTCTAACACACATACATGTGCACGCACGCACACACACACAAACAAACAAACAAACAAACAAACACACAGAGTGAAAAACTGAGGACAGCAATGGCTCCAAAGCCTCTTTCAGAGACAAAGCATGAATTGCCACATACTTGGTTCATGTATTAGCAATAGCAATAGCAGTTAGACTTATATACCGCTTCATAGGGCTTTCCGCCCTCTCTAAGCGGTTTACAGAGTCAGCATATCGCCCCCACA